TTTGGGTGCGTTTGTGTGGGCCGTACTCTTCTTGTCCTGTGGGTGCGTCTGTGTGGGCCGTACTCTTCTTCTCCTGTGGGTGCGTCTGTGTGGGCCGTACCTCTCTGGTAATATTAATGCTGTAAGAAAGAGGTAAGGAGGAACCTTATGGGTGAGTGGCTCACTGTGGTGAGAGTTAGAGTGAAAGTTTGCTAAAAAGAAAAAAAAAATGTCAGGAGAGATTCTTTCATAGAAGATGTAGAAGTACAGAGGTGTGTGTGTGTGTGTATGTGTGTGTGGGGGGGTACATTTACATGTGTGCACGGGCCCTGTGTGTGGGTGTATTTGTGCATAGAGGAACAGAAATGATCTAACACAAAGTTTTTGTTATTAAAGTGGTCTTTTATTTCTTAATAGCTTTTGTTAAAGGCTTGCTTTGGATCCATTCGATATTTTTTTTCTCCTGTCTTGTGTTTTTGCCCCCATTTTCAGCCCGCCCAGATTTAGCTCAGTTTCATCCTCTAATCTCTCTGTTATGTTAGTGATACTGGGAGAACAGCCTGGGCTGTGTGGCTCAGCCCCACCTGTCAAAGAGTATAGCATCTCTCACCAGGATCAGCTTATTGCCTGAGCTCTGTGTATCTTTATATTGAATTGCTTGTGATAGGAGCCTCTGATGTTGGTTGTGTGTATGTGAGTGTGTGGGTTTATTTGCGCAAGCGTGTGTGTGTGCGTTGTCTCTGTATGCGTATGAGGTGGCTTTGAATAAGTGAATGATCCACACAGGAGTAGATACAACTATTGTCTTTTCTGGCCTCAAATTTCAATATTTTCCCTTTATGTCTCTTCGGCCCTCTCTTCCCCAGAGCCGTACTCTTCTCCTGTGCTGCGTCTGTGTGGGCCTTACTCTTCTTCTCCTGTGGTGGTTGCAGGATGGCGGAGTGGCTGAAGAAGCAGGCGGAGCGGGAAGCGGAGAAGGAACAACGGCGCCTGGAGCGTCTACAGAGGAAACTGTCCGAACCCAAACACCAATTCACTGATCCAGAATACCAGCAGCAGTGCCATGACCTTTCAGAGCGGCTGGAGGACTCTGTGCTCAAAGGTCAGGCGGGTCTGACAGAGGGAGGGGGTCAGCATACATCAGGAGCTAGCATTTTCAGTACTTCCCAACTTGACCAGTTAAGACTAAAACTGGGTCTGGTCACCTGGTCTGAGAGTTTTTCAAAAAGTGCTTCAGCTCTGAAAGTTTCACCTCAGTTTGAGTGATTTTGGAGTCACTGAGATCTGATCACAAGCTGCTGCAGGGAATCGAGCTGAATAAAAATCCAGCCAGGGCCCAGATTTATCAAGTGTCTCAGTCAGTCCTAGGAATTGAGCAGGTTACCTCAGCACTAACAACCGTGCAACCTCAGAGTAGGATCTACAAGTTGTTTTTGAGGTGTCCCACCCTCACTTTCAGTGAGGAGAGAACAAGTGTGACGTTGCAGTCTTATGATGCTCGGTCACAAAGTCGACACTATCTGCTTGTTAGCTGGTGACGTAGCGTTCTGTTTTCGGGTCCAGACTTTGGTTCTTTCTCCTCATGCCACAATGTGGGAGCTGGGAACTATCAAAAACAAGATAGACGTATAACTATGTATGTATTGATATATATAGTAATAAATTTACTGCGATGTGTAATGAAGTTTGGTTATTATGGCACCAGGCAGAACAGCAACACTGACTATTTGATTTTTAACAATGTCATGTTGTTTTACTTTCATCGAAGCATCACTAAGGAAAAAAGTTATTGTGTCAAGGCTGACGGGCCCCGCCCTTTGGGTCTGGGGGGGGTTTGGACACCGAAGTGAAACATTACGTCACACATGTTGGAGGGTTTCTGACTGAGAAAAACACTATCAGCACCGCTGAAGGCGTTATGTGGTAACAGACGATAAGATCATCATTAAACTCTTTGTGCGTTATACCAGTTCTGTCTGTAATAAAGTGAAAGTTTACTGGAAATCCACTTGTAATGTGACTTCACTGTGTGAAATTCTCCTCAGCACTGGCCAAACATTTGTTCTAATTCACTAAAATGAAGCCGAGTATCCAGGGAACACCATCATTTGAAAATAAAGGTTTCCGTCACACTTGCTGAGGAGCCTTGAAACGTGTTGGATCCATTTAGATCTAAACCAAAGCTCACACAGTTCAGGGCCACTGGAGCCGTAATGCTGTGATCGTTTTCTGTTCACAGAAGCCTGGTTAATGTGTCAAACCCTAACCCATCAACGGTGCCAACACATCAGGGAAACAACTGATTTGTATAATTGCAGTTGTTAGTCAGACCGATATTGGATCAATGGGCTGTAACAATCTATGTGTTTCAGGTCTGCAGGCCGCCTCCAGCGGCCAGGTGCAGGTGGACGAGGTCTCTGTAGCGAAGAGACCAAACCTGGACCAGAGTGAACAGCCGCAGAAGAAGAAAAAGAAGATGGAGGCAGCGGCAGCATGTTTCTGGTGAGTTCATCCATTTCCAGTCGTTAATCTGTTTACACATGAGTAACGATGGGTATCAGGAACCAGTACTAAGTTGGTACCGGTTCCTGATTAGTCAGCACTGAAATAACAGACTCCTGCCCATTGGTGCTGCTCTGGGTAGTTAACATTCTACCAGAGATGGCACGTGTCGGACAGGGCGAGACTTTCAGCAGTGTCGGATCCTTTTACTAAAGTTAATGCAGTAAATTAGTGATGGGCAGATGAAGCTTCATGAAGCATTGAACCCTTTCATCCAATTGGTTCACTCCAGCGCAAAGCTTCTTGAAGCTTCATTTGCTCTAGGAGGACATCTACTGGATGCAACAATATCAGTTGGCATGAATTTGAAGTGTGTGGCATTTTGCAGAAAGCCTGTGAATAAAACTGTATGCAAAATACTGTTTTAACGGTCAGTAAGTAGGTACTTCTTCTCTTTCAGTACGTACTGTAACAGTATGCGGTTTCGGACGCAGCCCAACAGTTTCTCCACTGTGGCAGGTCTTAGGCGATTTCTTTTTTTTGAAAATCCGAACCACTTCCTGAATCAGTCACGTGGTACAGCCGGGCAGCGAGGCTTCGGACGTCATCATTTTCAGCTCCTCACCTAAATGACGCAAGCCACGATACGCGCATCGCGGAAACGCCCCCTCCCCTACTCGGCACACGCTTCGAAGCCTCGATACGGAACGTCACATCACTACAGTAAATGTAAAGTGTGTACACAGGGCAACACCAGCAGCCCCGCGAAACACACATTCAGCATTCTGTTAACGTGAAACAGTGCAGCGGTGGACCTGTGTAGCAAAGCGACTGCCAGCAGTTCTGTCCTCAGTGCAGCCTTCCGCTGTTGTCTGGCTCCGATGCTGACGGGACCTCAAACTAAACATGTCACTCGACCTCTTCAAGTCAAGGTAACACTGGATACTGTTATAAAAAACAAGTTTAGCATCAGTTATTAACTCAGGACACGGTTAGCATTAAAAAAAAGTCAAAATGAGACAGGTGAAAAGAGCAGAATGTCACAGGGCTGTTGCCAGGTTTACTAGGAAGGATTTACAGCCCAGTTGGCTTAGGTATGCTCGGCGTGCAACAGATAGCATAGCGTACTGATAAGTAGTTTGCGCTGTCCTGACAACCGAAGATTGTGTGGCATTGACAGTGGCTGTTCATATCTTCAGCTGCAGGGAGAGTTAACCGTATGTATCAGCCCCCGTTCGGATTGAACATCCTCATACCTGCTCGGTTTGAAAAGGAAAGGAAATATTCTGCACAAAGGTGAAAAACCACTTGAATCATTTCACATCAAATCTTTATTTTTACCATGTAATTATGTAGAGTATTGATAAGCAGCATCACTTTTGATAAAGCCCCAACGATACCCATCCCTACATTGAGAAATTCTGAGTGAAAACACCATCCTGCGCATTCTTCGCAGATTGAAACTCCCCTTTAATGGGAATTGGTTTGTGATTGGACGCTTCACATGAAGCATTGAGGAAAGGACGTCTCATATCAGTTAAGACATTTCCTCTTTCCTCTCTCCTGGCAGTTTGTCTGCAGGGCCAAGATGCAAGGACAAGTGAGGGAAACATGGATGCAGCTAGTGCATTTGGGATTTACCTACTGACACGTCCAATTCCATCATGGTTGCCACATGGTTTTCCATCATCTGAGCTTTGAATCAGCTCGCTGTCTTCTGCAGTGGTTTAATGGCAGCGACTGGAGAACCAGCTCCATCTGCTGTTTGTCTCCACCCTCTTGCTGTGGAGGGTGCAGACAGGACTTCACTCATGGTTTCTGTTTGACACAGACATGTTGGTTTTATTATGCTGAGGTTTTTGAATCTGTTGCCATGGTTACAGGACAGGCGTGGATGAGCTTCTGAGCTCAGAGGACGAAGATGATGACTCTCCATCCACGTCATCCTCCAACTGTGGAGCTGCTGCCCTTACTGTGATGACAAAGGATGAGACTCCATCCTCCACCAGCTGTGCAACCGCTGTCACCATGACGACACAGAGACAGGAGGTGGAGCCTGAGCAGAACAGCAGGTAGAGATTAGCTCCACCTCAGACCAGATCCAAAGCCCAGATTCAGTTCACATTGTTTCATTCGTGTCTCAATCGTCTCTTCCAGCTCATCTCCTGCTTGTGACCGCAGCTCATCCTCCACCCATCAAACCGCTGGACCCTCAGAGGAGCAGAGGCCCTCAGAGTCCCCCCAAGACCAAACCGCCGGACCCTCAGAGGAGCAGAGGCCCTCAGAGTCCCCCCAAGACCAAACCGCCGGACCCCCAGAGTCCCCCCAAGACCAAACCGCCAGACCCCCAGAGTCCCCCGAAGACCAGACTGCCGGACCCTCAGCGGAGCAGAATCCACAGGTTTCTGGACCCTTGGAGGTGTCCAGCTGTTGGTCTCAGCAGCAGGTCAGTAGTTTATCCTCTCTGTGCTGCCGTAGTCTCTGCTCCCTGTGAGCGTTTGAACACTGAGTAAAACCAAAATAAGATTTGGGGGTGTCACCGGGTGTTTGGTCGAGGTCCAGTGACAACAGCTCTGTTCCATGAGGAACTTGCAGGAGCTGAATTCACTGTGCTGTCAAGCTGTAGGACTGTTTACTTTGCTTTTGAGTGGATCAGAACATACGATGGGAGGCGTTTGGACCTGTACTGTTCGTTCAGTTGTCAGGAAACAGAGCGGTCATAGTCGCTGCTTTCTGCACGAGCAACTCAGATGTAATTTGTTGAAACATTAAAACCCTTTTCTCATGAACTTAGAACAGTTTATTGTTAGCTGGTTAGCAGCCTGTAGTGGATTGTGGGTAGAAGGCAGTGTTGGGAGAAGAGCACAGGCCTACTGCCTCTGTGGGTTTGAGACAGATCCAGAACTTTACCGAAACTCTTGGTGTTTCTGCAGATGTTTGAGATATGTTTTGCCTGTTGTCTCAGCAGCAGCGGGGCGCTGCCCTGGACCTGTCCTCTGTGGTGTCTGTCCACCAGCTGGAGGCTCTAGGTCTGGATGCCCTGAAGGAGGAACTGATGCTTCGAGGGCTGAAGTGTGGGGGAACGCTGGCGGAGCGCGCTGCCCGGCTCTTCTCCATCAGGGGCCTGACCCCAGATCAGATCGACTCGGCACTGCTCACCAAACCAGGCAAGATCAAGAGGAAGTGAGCAGGTCAGAGGTCACGCCTCTAAAGGAACAGTCCGGCTTTTCTTTAATTGGGCAGGTTTTCTAAAAACATGCACCTGTTCCACCAACACAGCGGGCGGGACAGATGTTTTCAGCTGCAGCCAGTCTTGTCCTTGGAGCTGTTAAAGGTGCAGACGGTCACGTTGTGTAGCTCATCCCACTATGGCACCAGAGAATGTGGAGGACTCAGTGTAACATGTGAGACCAGAGCCTGGTTTATTGGTCTGTGCAGTAGACCACTGTTGTCCAGAAACTACTGAACACACCCCAGTGTGTGTATAACGGTGTTTAGACAGCAGAGGTCTCGCATTCTCTGGTGCTGTTGTGAGATGAGCTACACTACGTCACCGGCTGCACCTTCAGTGTTGGACACAAACGTTTTAACCCGGTGACCAGTTACAGCCTGATGGCAGAGAGCTGTGGCCTCAAAGGTCACATGCCCCTGCATTAAGCCTCTTCATTGGCTGAGCATAAGACTGAAACTCAGCTTTCTTGAGGTTTTGATGCTCAGCTGATCTTCTGAAACATGACTTTGAGATTTTTGCCAGGGTTTTTATTTGAGGCCTTGGCAAAACCAGGATTTCACTGATGTTGCTGAAATTGAGTTCTGTCATATTTAGGAACAACAGTCCTGATATAAAAAGCTTGTTCACATTTTGTCAAATGATTTCTCTTCAATTAAAGTGTTTATGAAACAAAACAGCCATTTGTTTTCTGTTGCGTTACACCAACACAGTGAAGAGTGCAGGCTCTCAGTATCTGAGCCTCCCTGTAGGGGCAAATAGTCTGAAATCAGCAGCAGGTGAAACCTGCGACCCTGTGACAGAATGGTTTCAGGTCCAAGCCCAAAGTGAAATCGTCACATTTACACCTGGTAGTCTGAGCTTCCTGATGCCAGACCAGGAATCCAACTGTCCAGGCCGAGACTCTGAGCAGCACAGCTGGGAAGTTAGAAGCCGGGATCCCAGGAAGTGACCTGCGGCGAGTCCAGCTCCTCGAAACAGATGATGACATCACCGGGACTGAAGGTGACATCACCATCAACTGAGAGACCACAGTCCATCCCTGTCTTCACCGTCACCACATCGTCTTTGAAGTGCTTCAGCGCCACCAGAGAACCTACAGAGAAATGTTAGGGGAATGTTAGCGACCAACTGAGAAACATCAGCCCAACTGCTACGCGGCCCCACTCATCTGCTGACCCTGAGGTACAGACGGATCCTGGAGCAAGTCCAGGTCTTAAAGGGCTTTCAGAGAGGACGTGGTATGCACTGTGCTCGCTGCAGGGGTTGGGCACAGCACAGGGGGAGGAGATGAGCTGCAGCAAAGACGAGGAGGCTGTGGGTCTTCCAACACCAGCTTCTCCTCCATTTTCTTTGTGGTCTGTCAGGTTCTCTGCCACCGGATGTGTTGAGGTGTCACAGACCGCTGTGCCCAAGTTGAATCTTACTTATTAACTTCAGTGCAGCGTGTGACCTTGTGCTGCTGAGCTCATTGCAGTGCAGATACGTTCTTGCACCGCACAACACACAATGAATGGGTGCGCAGCGCCCGCTACGTCCTATCTAAGAGCCCCTTTACTTACCTTCCCAGACGGTGTCTTGTCCTCGGATGAGTCTGAACTTGAGTCGTCGGTCCAGCTGACCATTCTGAACTCGACAGCCAGCCACAGGAACCACCTTCTTCCCCATAGAGACGTCGAAGAGGGCGAGGACTGTGGCCTCACCTGGACCAGCAGAGAGGGGGATGGGGGTGAATGATACTGAAGTACATTGCTCTCCTGTCCAGTTTCAATGACCACTGTGTGGTGAAACAGCTGCTGGAGTGACCATCAAATGCATAATGAGCGCTTTCTTCATTTTTAGGCAACGTAATCATAAGTATCGAACAGATATTACAAAAATACTTACTCTGGATTATGAACGGCGACAGTTGGACAGGGACGACAGTTTCCTATCTGTGCTTTGTCACAGAAAACCACTTAAAGGTTACCACTAATTGTAAGACGTTATTTCCAGATTTCAAAATAAGAGGCTGTAGTTCTTCATCAGCATAGGTTTGATTTGGTACATTAAAAAGTGTTATCCACAGTTACTTACAGTACACAAGTACGTCAAGATGATATTTTTGAATTGGTGTTTCTTACAAACAAAATGAACGTCTTTTACTGTGTCCTTCTGGAGTAATCCCAATATATGTCATATATCGAACAGACTATCCTCTAACTTTGATGGGAAAACTATCATCAGTAAGTAGTTCAAGAGCCCACTTTTGGTACTGCACAGACAACATGAACTACTTTATGTATTTTGAGTAATCAGATACTGTCTTACATCGAACAAAGAGTAGTTCATGAGCATATTTGTAATGAGTTGTTTAACTACTTATGGAGCAAACTGTTTTAAATCCATAACAAACTCGTTTTTGTTCAGTGAACCTTTATAATGGCACTGGGGCAAAAGTACACCGTAAAAATAGTTCATGTTAATTGTGCAATTAGCCTATACAGTGCTAATTGCACATATACTGGTCTAATACATTACTAAGTGAAGAGACATTTTTAAATTGGAGGACAAATCTTATTTTTGTTCAGTGCAAGGTTTTTAGAACTGTAATACTCCAGAACTACACAGTAAGTGTAGTTCATATTATTTGAGGAAGTAGTCTGAAGTACTAACTGCAAATATATTGGGTTGATCAACTACTTATTGATGAAACTGTTTTTAATCTACATTAAATTTGGAGCAAAAAGCTAAATTTTAGTCAATGCAACATACGATAATATAGGATTACTCCAAAACGTAAAAATAGTGCATATTATTTATGGAAGTAGTCAATGAAGTACTAATACCAAATATACTGGGTTAATTCACTCTTAAAGTTTTTGATTCATGTCAAGGTGAAAGGGGAAACTGCTCATCTATTAAATGGTTTTCAGCCTGCATCAAATTTAAGGGATACTGCTCATGTTCTGGTTCCATGGGGGAACCAGACAAGTAATGGATTACTCCAAAACTACACAGTAAACGTAGCTCATATTGTTTCTGCAATGTTACATGTAAATGTTTTTTGTTGTGATTTTTAATTTGGTTGGGACTATGGGTACAAATTAGCTTTAGAGCAGCACATTTACACTGGTGTCAGTATCACTGACTAATGTGCATTATCCCGTTTAAACAATACATAAGAAGACAAGTTTATGAAGCACTACTCCAAAATATACCACGGCCTTCACCGACTTAAACAAAAACCTGAGGCTTGTCTTATTTTGAAATCCAGCAGTAGCACGCTAGGCTTTGGGGTGATAACCTTTACGTCACAGCTGTGACAAAGCACGGACAGGAAACGTCTTTGTCACCGTTCATGATAAAGAGTAACCACCGTTTGTTGTCACATCTGTCCGATACACATGAGAACATATCCTAACATTACGAAAAGCGTCTCTACGTTGTGTTCTGATTGGACAGTCACCTCAAACAGCCATTACCGTAAGTTTTGGACAATCTGCACACACAGTAGTTTCGACCATGGACATCTTAACAGAGCTGACACAGACCCCAGCGATGAGGCAGACGTCTGTACCACTGCTCCCAGGGCCCTTCATTTGTCAACCATCACTCTTACAAAGTTTGATTCTGTGGAGGTTTTATGTTTGTAAAACCTTACAGAAAAGCAAGTTTTACTTTAGTGACGTCATCGCTACTGAGCATATGCACATGGTTCATGCAGGTGAGCCGTTTTATTCACGTGAATGTGCGACATCCAGGCACGAGCATTGTGTCTGCGCAGCTTCATCTTGTCCCACACACAAGATGAAAAACAGACCAAAGTACGCGACCATTTCCATCTGTCACAACGTGGTAATGCGGTAAAAGCCTGTTTGATAAACATCAAGACGCTGTGATAATATTTAACGTCAGCAAAAACATTTGCTATCGGCTTTTTGGAAACTGATTCGTTATCGTACTGTGACGCTCTGCACGGTTAATGAACTTGTCAACTAAAGTGTGATGGGTTTGATGAGCCTGCAGCTTCCTGGACTGTGAGCATCAGTAGTGACTCACCGACCACGTTCTCCATCAGCAGCGGTGGCAGCTTGCTGCTCAGCTCGTCCTTCAGCTGTTCCACCAGCTTGTAGATGACGGTGTGGAGTCTGAGGGGGACGCCGCTCTTCGCTGCCAGCTTCTGCACTTTGTTGCTGGCACCGACGTTGAAGCCGTAAATGGAACCTGAAGACGAGGAGAGAACGTCAGCGAACATCGGACTGTCCCGACCCAAACCAAGCTGATATCCGAGGACTCGGAACCTTCACCGGCTGCTTTAACAGCTATGTCCAGATAAAACGTTCTTTGTCCCGCGTCCGTACCTGCAAACGTTTCGGCCATGTTGACGTCGTTCTCAGAAATGTCCCCGATGCCGAAGTGCACGACATCCAGCTCACACTGGTGCTGAGCATCATAACTGTCCGTGATGTTCAAGATGGCCTCCACCGAGCCGTCCACGTCCCCTGCAGGTCAAAGGTCAGTCAGTGTCAAACGTCAGATGCTGCCACACATGGATCAGGCTTTCAGAGTGCAGTTTACCTTTGATGATGAGCGACAGACTCGGGCCGTCTCTCTGCGTTCTCTCGCTGGGCCTCGTGAAGAACTTGGCCTTGTTGGCTCGGTACAGAACCAACTGCCTCTGCCTCCAGCTCAGGTGAGTAAGCTCCGCCTTCTCCTTCATGTACTCTTCCTGGTGCAGCTTCTGTTTGTGCTCGATGATGCTCTGCTCCTTCTGCAGCCTCTGTTGCTCCTCCTCGTAAGTCCTCCAGTCCACCACCTCCCTCGCTCGCCGCTGCTCCAGCACAAACATAAAACGAGGTCAGCGAGGAGCAGGGGTTTGGTTTTTTTTATTAGGAGCTCTTCAAGTCCAAATGGACTATTCTTGCAAGAGTCCTCATCATAAAAACATCACTTTTATCATCACAACACTTAAAACGCACAATTATCTCCAAAGAATAAAAACCCAAGTAAATAAAACAGTTGTAAGCTTTCATCCAGAGAACCAACCCTATACACCTGTTAAAATAAATGACCACTGACCACATACATCATCTTACGATATGTTTTAAGCCATTCTTTGACATCCCTCTAACACTGTTACCTCCACCAGGACAGGGCTTCAGTTTCTGCCGGCATTTGTTTGTTGACAGCATAACTCACAAGATAAAGGATGGATTTTGATGAAACTGAACAACTGATTAGATTTTGGTGCTGCTCCATATCATAATTTGGATAAAGGAATAATTTTACTGATTATTCCTCACTGTGAGCACTGGGAAGGCCACTGACTGTATGTGAGCCCCCTTGTGGCCAAAGTGAGCGGCTGTGCTGCATAGAGAGAAAGCCCCGGGTCAGTGACAGCTGCCCATTTGTCGTCAGTGGGAACCCACCAGAGCCCAGCAACAGCCAACAGTTTTTGAGCAACTTTCCAGCTAATAATGCTACCAGTGTCATTTCACATGCCAGAGTTTCATGGTCCGTTTCATGTTATGAACAGTCGCCCTTAGTGGAGACCTACGCACGCTGAGCGCTGTCCAGCTAGGCAATTTATTCCATCTTAAAACACACACATCCTTACATCACTAATAACTGCAATACAGGTCAGAAATAAGTCAGCTGGATTTTATTTTTCTAGGTAAAGGTTTTTAATTATTCTTTTATCAGTTGATGCTCAAGATTTAAAAGGTTTAAAAGGTGGGGGGACCGAGCCTTTATAATTGCTGCTCCCAAGTTATGGAACAGTTTGCCGTCTGAACTGTGCTCACTATCAGATGTGGTCTCCTTCAAATCAGGATTAAAGAGGTATAGTTTTAAATTAGTGTTCAGCTTCCAGTAGGTTATTGACACTCAAATTACTGTCCTGTGGTCATGGGCTCCTGTGGCCTGCCTAACCTTTTTCTTACTTTTGTAAGGCGCTGTACAAATGAACATTGATTTGAAGGTGAAGACCTGGCACAGCAAAGAAAAAAAGAAATTCTGTTAATAAATTCATAATTCTGAAATAGCATATAAATAACCAAAGGAAAGACAAAAGTAAAGCATAAAAAATACTTATTTAAAAAAGTATAACAACTTCGCACAAGTTCGGACTGAGGTCAGAGGTCAGTGGATTAGGTGGTCTCACCTCAGACTCGACCTCCAGGATCACCTCTCCGGCAGAAGGCAGGTCCTTCCAGCCGACCACCTGCACCGCAGAGCTTGGCCCGGCCTCTGTTACCACCTGCCCATTCTCATCGAACAGGAAGCGGACTTTAGCCCAGCTCTTCCCCGCCACCAGGATGCACCCTTGCTTCAGCATCCCCCGCTGGACGATGGTTGTCGTGACCGGTCTGAGGACACAAACAGTTATTTTAGTCTCTTACACACTGTCTCTGGATCCAGGACTATTTTATACTATACTACTATACTATACTCGTGATGTGTGTGACTGTCTGATTCCGTTTTACTAATCACATTTCCTTGGTGCTCTATAAATAAACTGACCTTGACCTACTCTCTGGATTAGGGCTGCATAGAAACATCAATTTTCCATTAAAAAAAAAAAAAAAATTCGGATTAATCTTCAAAGCACCAAGTCAAGGAATACACACGATAACTTAGAGAAAATGGAACAACAGAGAAAAACCCAACACTTCCCCTCGAGCAAACAGATTCTAGTCTGACTCTGTTATTGACCTTTGAAATCCCGAGATCGACCCCTTTCCTCAGGAAACGTACAGCTGCTCACCGCTACGTGTTCAGTTCAGACTGCAGCCTATGTCAAATGGCCTCTCTGTGGAAAAGGCTATTTTCGGTTAGAAAGTGCGCAGGGTGCCCACCTCACCACCTGATTGCCTGGTCATCAGGTCAGCCAGCAGGTGGGCCCAGATGTATATGCCTATGCATGGAGCTGTGAAGGCCACCCCAGACCATAGTCAAGTCCTGTCCTCGTGTTCCTCCTGACGCAGAGATCAGCCTGAGAAATGGTTTGAATGAAAGCGGATATTTGGAGCTCTCTCGGGGGCTCACGGGTTGCCCCAAAAACGCCGTTCTTTTCCCTGAATCTCTACAACGATAGTGATAGTAGAATTAGCACTAGCTATAGAATCTCCATAGCCACTACGAGGGGAAATACAGCAGGGAAAAAAAAACAACAACTTTACAGCTTCTCACCACAAGCAGACAAAAAGGAACTTCATGGGTGACAGGCTGGCTGTGCACGCGGATGGACAGAGCTGCATTGCACTGCAGAGGGACAGACTTTTGAGGCAGCTGACTCAGGAGACTATCAGAATCTGTGAAAGGACACTGGCATTGGAAGCATGGTGGGAATCCTCTGTGGGGCGTGCAGAAGGACAGCAACCTGCTGTGTGTGGATCTTCTAAACATGCTCTGGATTATGTGCTACTGGAGCGGACTCAGCGGGCCAGGTAGTGATTGCCTGTCCTTGTCTTCCCAAGGAGCCCTGTGCCCCACCTCCTCGGTCGCCTCCACACTGGCGTGCTACTGCCGAGACACGGTGTGCAGATGTGCTGATGGTGCAGACATAGAACCAAAGTCTGAACTGAAGCTTTCCTTCAGCTGGTATCACTAGTTCCACTTCCTGGCTTTAGTTTATTTCAGGAAGCCGCAGCTCATTATTTCCTAGTGCAGTGAGAGTTTTCTGGAACCGACGTCTCACTTCACGCTAAAGATGACTTGTGCACTTGAGCTTCTTGATGCAGGAGCCTTATTGGTGAAAGGTCTCCCAGGTCTGACTAGGTATTTTCAGTTTCTTCAAATCAAATCAAATTTTATTTGTATAGCGCCAAATCACAGTCATCTCAGGACACTTTACAGAGTAAGGTCTAGACCTTACTGTTATCAATATTATTACAGAGGGAAAACCCAACAAATCCCCCTTGAGCAAGCACTTGGTGACAGTGGGGAGGAAAAACTCCCTAGTTGATAAAACCCTAGTTGGGTTTTATCAAGTTGTGAAATCACAATTTGAGAAAGCTGAACATGTATGCGATCAGCACCCCACCCCTGAACCCCAGCACTAGGAAGGCACAAGCTAAAGCATCTTTGATAAGTTTAAGAAGAAACTTAAGGTTCCAGCTTCACACACATGGATGTTTCTCTATGTTGATGATAAAGTATCCTGATATATAAAATGCTGTTATGACATCAAACTGAATACCTCCATGGCTTTGGATTAAAATAAAGCAAACTATTAAAATATGTCAACTTCATCATAATAGAGTATGATGTCTGTCTGTCAAGCTCCTAAAGTTTGCAGATGACACAACGGTCATTGGTCTTATCCAAGATGGCGACGAGTCAGCCTACGGCCGGGAGGTTGAGCAGCTGGACCTGTGGTGTAGCTGCAACAACCTGGAGCTGAACACGCTCAAAACAGTGGAGATGACAGTGGACTTCAGGAAGAGCCCCCCCCACCTTACCCCCCCACATCATACATAGCAGCACTGTATCAGCAGTAAAGTCCTACAAGTTCCTGGGCTCCACTATCTCCCAGGACCTGAAGTGGACGTCCAACATCAGGACCATCA